CTAAAGAGCCATCTGATTGGGACCTTGGTGACCAGCACACTTGAGAGATAAAGCAAACAACTGGCCTTGAGGGGAAATATCATATTCCTTAGTGGCATAATGGGATGTTATTTACCTCCAGGCCATGGAAAACTTCTCAGCGGTCCATTTCCACATTTTTACGTTCTTTTTCCTTTCAAAATACTTAGGACAGGACACTGTGATGGGAAGTGAGGAGATATTACAGGGGCTCTGTTGCCAGTATATTTATTTAAAAAGTCCATCCTTTTTCCAGAGAATGAGTTGCGCAAACAACGTAACTTCCTTCCTCTGTTTGAGAACTGGAGATGTGTATATTCACCAGAAGAGAGGAAATGAAAGACAAAAGCCAGAAGTGTTGACACAGAGAGAACAACCCATGATTTGCATGCAAAGTAGCATTTTCATTCAAGAAAGGGGAGATTTGACTGGGACCTGGCGAATTGGCAGGATCCCATGATCAGCGGGCAGTGAACAAGGCCCAAGAGGCCTAGCTCTCCAGTGTCTCCAAAGATGTCTCTCATTCCAGCTAAGGAAACTCTGATCGTGGCAAGGTCAGTAGTTTTTGGGGTTTTTTATGGTCATGTGTTTCTTCAAAGCTGTTTGGTGAACTGAACATTATTCTAAGATAGTGTATACAAGAAGCTAATACACCACCTCAGCAACTCACCTTCTGCTCGCTGACAAATCAGTGTTTCTGACACATAAAATCTAATGTCTTTAGACCTTATGATCGAGGAGGGTCCTGGACATTAGGACTTAGGTGACAGCTAGAAAACCAGGATCCACTGCTGAATCTGATGTGTCTACGTACCATAGCTGAGCATCTTCTGGGTGGTCATTTTGCTACCTGAATACAGAAACAACAATTGGCGCTGTGGAAATGGCCATGTAGACTTGTTAAGTCTATTTTGGCTTTAGGGCTGCTTGGGGTTGGGAAATTCCAGGAGGTTTTGGGGGTGGTGCCTGGGAAAGGCGTGGCTGTGGGAGGGGAGGGACTTCAATCAGCTATTAGGGATGCCAGCCTCCAGGTGGGACCTGGGGATCCCCTGGAATTATAGCTCATCTCAGACTACAGAGATGAGTTCCCTTGGGGGAAATGGATGGTTTGGAGGGTGGACTCTGTGGCACTGTACCCTAGTGAGGTCCCTGTCCTCCCCAGTAATAGATTCCTGCTCCCTGAAACAGCTCTTTCCTGCTCAGTTTCTCCAGTGAAACAGCCGGCAAAAATGACAGGAGTTTCCCCCAGTTTCCAGTTTGAGCCTTTCCCATCCACTGAGGCAGGAGCTGTTCCCCATTTTTCTGCCTTTGTACTAATCGGTCATGGGAAACTTGAGATCAGATTAAGACTAGCCCAAATCACAGCTCCAGAGCCCCTTGCCAAATCTCCCCAGACCAGCTGTTCTTCACAGAAGGATGAAAGACGGGAGTAGACAATGGCTGCCCATCAGGGTACATAGGACAGCAGAATTCCTCCCTCATCTCTCAGAGTAGACTTTGCTTGTGTAAAGGAAAGCCCGTCTTTCCTGTCTCTTCAAACAGCTTCCTGCAAATGAGGTATCTTTAATTTCTTTTTCTGTCATATTTTTAGAATTATGCTTTCCCTTCAATGAGTCCTGGGTGGCCTATGTGGCTCTGTTCTTTTTGTTATCCTCCTAGCAACCCCGTTGAGGTAGGTTAGACTGAAAGAGACTGCCTGGCTGAAGGTCCTCTGGTGAGCTTCACAGCAGAGATCAGAAAGCGGAGAAAAGAAAGAAAGGATCATTGGGTGGAGTTCACAATGAAATGAAACTGTGACCTGAGACAACACTGCAAAATGAGTTGTAGAGGGGAAGATGATTCTTTACATAGGCATGGTAGATTTTAGGAAGAACTCAGCACTGAGTGAACACTACTTAACACCTGGTTTGTGCTTGACTTCAATGTGTATGGCCTATGCGTGGTAGTCATGAGTTCAACTCTCTGTACAAAATTCAGTGTTAATCAGATTTTATGCATATAGTTTTGTATATAAATAATCTCTTTTCATATACTCTGTCTACCATAAACAAAAATAATGCATAGCCCTCATCGGCAAAACTTTTTTGCATAAAATTGTACATAGGTAGGTCATCGTTCATATTAAAGGTACCATGTTAATCAGACCTTTCCAAGTCTGTTGATGCTGATGGGCTTAAAAAGATGTAGCTGTTAGGACTGCACAGTATAGGAACCACATGAGGTGGAAATCAAGACTGGACTTATCTGCAACCTGTTTTTGCTTTGAGATCAATATAAGGAAATTCCACAGTGAGCAGATCTGGTGAGAGGGAGTCTGTACTTTGGCTCAATAGGGATTACCAGAGGTCCTCTTTTTAGAGGACATGTCCTCTTTTTTATGTTTCCATCCTCTGTTGTAGGGGTATGCAGAAAAAAAAATTCGGCCCATTCAGATTTGGCCGAATCGGGCAGAATCAATTTCGGCTGGCAGTAAGACTCCCGCATGTCAGCTTCGTCAGTAGGAGCCGAGTCTTTCGACCAGCCGAATGTCAATTTCAGCCCCATTATATCCTATGGCCCCTTGAAGTCAATGGCGAAAACATAGGGTATATTCTGGGGACTGGAGGGGAGGGGACTCCAAACTCGCAGGGTAGCTTCTGGAGCCTCTCCCCAAGATACCAACCACGTTTCAAGAGCATTGGACCAGGGGGTCCAATTCTACGGGCCCTCAAACAGGTTGCCCCTATCCCCTCCATTGTTCTCTATGGTGGGAAAATCTGCCTGCAGCAGCCCGAAAGGGGTCCGAATGGGCCATTTTGGGGGGTGCATTCGGTTCAGACTAACCGAATGCACATCCCTACTTGGGCTCTTTTAAAAAAACTGATGAAAATGTCCTCTTTTTGGGTTGGAAGGTTAGAAATATTCCTAGTTAGTAGCAGTTATCACAATTTAAATAGTAGAGGTATTTAAAATGAGATTTGTCATAGTGATCACTCGTTTGAAGTAGTCTTTCGGGAAATATGTCCTCTTTTTTGCTTTTCAAAATATGGTAACCCTGGCTCAATAGAATCACCCTGTCTCTTTTTCTCACTTCTCCATATAAAAGGTGAAAGGTGTACATGATATGAAGAGAAACCAGCATACTGGTTATGCACCCTATCAGTACAGAGGTGGAAATTTGGCCCTTCCTCTGCTCTGGTCTTGCTGAACACCATTTTAGTAAGTGGCAAAAATGTTGGTGGTTTTCAGAAAGTGTTCTGGGGATTCTGGTGAATGATGGAACTTCAGTAGGTGTTTCGTAATGGGAAACTAAATTTCCTGACAGACAACATGCTCATCTTATAACATTGCATATGCCATTAAATGTCAACAACGCCCTATGGTTCTCTACATAGGGCAGACAGTTCAAACCCTACGCCAAAGGATAAATGGACACAAATCTGACATCAAGGATCACAAGACTTAGAAACTTGTAGGAGAGTACTTCAGTCTTTTAGGACATTCAGTGGGTGACCTCAAAGTAGCTGCTTTATTACAAAGGAACTTCAGGAACAGATTCGAAGGAAAATTTCTGAGTTTCAAGTTATTATGACACTCAGAACAATGGAATCCCCAGGACAACAGGGATATTGGTTTCTTATCTCACTACATATGCTAACCTCATTCAGACCTTACATCTGTATTCTCACCAGTACCCCAGAGGGGCCATACATCCTCTTTATTTTATTTTATTTTATTTTATTTCTTATTTAGAATAATAAATTAAAATAGTAGATTGTAATGTAGCATAATGAATAGTAGAATATAATGTAATTTGGAATAGTAGATTGGAATGTATTTCTCTGGTCTGGGGACAGGAGAGATAACTCTACACAGTCAATCACCCCACTTCAAAGAAGAAGATGCTGTAAGGTCGCCTCCATGCTTGAGAGGAGATGGACTGAGTGTAATGGCAGGGTTTCAGTTAATTACTCCTACCATCCCACAATTAAGGATACGTCTGCCCATCAATCTCCAATGCTGACATATTTATTTCCTTCACTATGCCCTGCCCCACCCCGGAATTAAACCCAAATAAATGGTAACCATATAAACTAAGCTTGTTATTCCTGCTTGGTCCTTGAATCTGTTAAACATCTTCATTATGTTGTATGCTAATTTACTGCTCACCCTCTACCTATATGTATGAAGTGGACAGATGACTTCCACAGCAGCACATGTGAAAGGGATCTAGGTGTTCTGGTTGTTCACAAGCTAAACATGAGCCAGCAGTGCGATGTGACTGCGAAAAAAGCTAATGCGATCTTAGGATGCATTAACAGAAACATTGTGTCCAGATCACGGGAGGTGGTAGTCCCGCTCTATTCTGCTATGGCCAGGCCTCACCTGGAGTACTGTGTCCAGTTTTGGGCACCACGTTTTAGGAAGGATGTTGACAAGCTCAAGCGTGTCCAGAGGAGGGCAACCAGGATGGTGAGAGGGCTGGAATCCAAGTCTTACGAGGAAAGGCTGAAAGAGTTGGGTATGTTTAGCCTGGGAAAGAGAAGGCTTAAAGGGGACATGATTGCAGTCTTCCAATATTTGAAGGGCTGTCATGTAGAAGATAGGCTCAAACTTTGTTCAACTTGTCCCCTACAACAAGTCTTCTCTGAAATGTTTAAGCACAGTAGTGCTTTCAGTTCACATGTAGTAATGGTGAGGCCTAGCAGGTCTAGGGAGTGCCCCCGTGAACTGGCTGTACACACATCACTGAACCCTCTGTAACAAATGGCAGTTCCCTAGGTTTCTGTAGTAGAAAAAGTCAATGTGTCAAGGGCTCCCTCCAGCTGGAACAATTGAAAGCCACTGCTTTGGGAAATAAGACAGTTTTGGGTTAATATTTCTCACAGTGAACGCTTTGCTTCCATATTCATTAGGTGACACAGAGAGAGTTGCAACGTGCTCAGCACGAGGAAAGCTCTTCAACCTCATATATCCAGAGGAAAAACAAAATTTGGAAGAATATGAGTTTCATCAGCGGTCTCCTGACTTTAAGCTTTATCTTGCATATTAATGAAGCTAAACGTGAGTTTTTCATGAAGTTTCTTCCCTGCCCTCTCTTTTCTTCCCTTTCCTTCCTCCCTCCCTCCCTCTCTCCCTCCCTCCCTCATTAGCATACTATCCAGCATCCATCTCTTTGGTTGTACTGTCATTCATTCATTCATTCATTCATTCATTGAATTTCTACCCTGCCCTCCCGGCCAGAGCCAGCTCAGGGCAGCTTACATAAAAACAGATAAGTTACATTAAAACATAAATTACAATTAAAACAGTTTAAAAACCATCTAATATAATAAAGTGTTAGTTGCCATTATTATTTTGATGGTGGCAGCCATTATTCAATGCTCTCAACTCACAGTCCGCTCGCAATCTTCCTTTCCGATTGTCCTTGAGGAAGTTGTTGTCCTTTAGGATGTTGGTGGAAATTCCAGGAATCCAGGGCCCTCTCTCATTCTGCTGTTAGTTGTTAATTATCGGTGGTGGTGGTGGTGGCTCCCGAAAGCCTGGTGGAAGAGCTCCGTTTTACAGGCCCTGCGGAACTGTAAAAGGTCCCGCAGGGGCCTGATCTCTTTTGGGAGCTCATTCCACCAGAACAGAGCCACCACTGAGAAAGCCCTGGTCCTGGTTGTCGACAGCCTAGCCTCCTTAAGACCCAGGAGGGCCAGTCAGTTCTGGGCCCCTGATCACAGTGCTCTTGTGAGTACATGTGGGAAAAGGTGCCCCCTCAGGTATGTAGGTCCCTGACCATAAAGGGCTTTAAAGGTAAGAACCAGCACCTTGAAACGAATCCGATATGCTACCGGCAGCCAGTGCGATGCCTTTAGCATAGGCTATATGTGCTCCCGTATAGAAAGCCCCATCAAAAAGCCTGGCTGCGGCATTTAGGTGTATAGTTATCTATAAAATATGCAAACTAGCTCCTAGAGTTCTGTCTAGTGTTGCTCCAAGAAATGGAAACCAGGGAGAGAACATGCATACAAAGGGATGGGTTCTGCCAATAGAGGATGGCTCAGTTCTTATTGGCTCCCAGTAACTTCTGTGACTCTGCTGTGCCTGACAAAGAGAGCATTGGTTCTCAAGAGATTATACTTTAGAACTCTTATTGAACTCTGAGGTGCTACTGGACTCAGACTGGGCTACTGCAAATAAATGCAGCTACCCTCTGAAACTATCTGTTACCAAGTGCTGTGAGATTTATTTATATATTACAATATTTCTAACCCACCATCAGCAGAGGCTGATAGGATAAAGTTGGGTGACACCTGGGACACAGCTAGGATGGCCAAACTTTTCACACCTGCCTCCATCACCCCTGGACTCCGGCCTTCCTACAGGACCGGACTGTGTCACTCCTTCAGGCCAAACTGCCATGCTGTTGAACACACTCCACTGGGGTCCGGCTTGCCTTAGTGTCATTGAAATATACTGGGTTCAGACGCGTATAGTGATCAGCTCATAGTTTATTAGTGTTTCAGCAAGTAGAAAGAAGACTGAGAATCCCTGACCACAGCCAGGTATTTAAGCATGCAAAAGGTTACACTCCAAACACAAACCCACTCCCAACGATAGGTTATTTACACTACATGGTTATTCCATTGGTTTACTCTAGGATCCCTGTCTCCCTACTGGTCCATTCTAGGATCCTAGTTTGCTATTGTTATGGATCTCAAGCTCAATACATTACAGTCATATTATCCGTTAATTCTCTGCTGCCCCCACTTTTCCCTGCAAGACATCAGTCAGAATCTAATTTATGAGGAAAGTTGTTTTTTGCTTTTCAGAGACTCAGCTCATGGAATCCCTCCAATGTGTCAACGACTACAAATCATTCGTATCCTGCACCTGGTCTGAGAGCCAAGATGTACAAAAGTTTATCAAGATGAACCTTTTCTATAAGTCTAAAAGAAATGAGTGAGTGGCCCAACTGTTTTGTTGTTGTTGTTTTACTGTCAAGTCACAGCTGATTTATGGGGACCCTTTAGGGTTTTCAAGGCAAAAGATCTTTGGAAGCAGTTTGCGATTGCCTTCCTCCGCATCACAACCCTGGTATTCCTTGGAGATCTCCCATCCAACTACTAGCCAAGATCAGCCCTGATGAGTCTGTAAAATAACAAGGAGAAACAAGGCTGTTGTGGTCAGGGGGGTTTCCAGAGACAGGGCTCCTTCTCATGATTATCCTCAAAACTCCCGCTGACGCCAGTCTAACTATATGACTAATGTTCCTGTCCCTACATAAGGAAAGTTGATGAGGCTGAGAAGAGACCTAAGACCCTGCTAATATCTGTTAAAAATGTATATCCATTCTGTACCAGTTGAACTGTCATGACTTCCATCAAAGAATTCTGGGAACTGTAGTTTGATGATAGGTGGAGAATTCTGTGTTGAAGATTGCTGGCTTTCCTCACAGAACCACAGCCCCTTGAGCTTTCTATGTGCCATCACCTTCTGGCATACGGGTCTCATCACCATTCCCCCCCATTATCTCGTTGGGAAAAGAGTTCATCGTACAAGCTGGAAAAGTCAGTCATCAGAAGGGAAGTGAAAGGGAGGCTTCTTCTCTATTGTATCTTGGTGTAGGCATTCTCAGAGAGGATAAAGAGAAGAGTCTGCAAGAAACAGAGGAGTGATAATTTACCCCTTGTTGGCCTCTTCCAGAAGATGAAGTGGTGTGTCTTTTGTTTACCTACTTTTTTAAAAAAGCAAAACTGCCGTTTGAAAGAAGTTTTTAAAAAGGAAGTTGTGGCAAGGAGGAAATGTCAGCAGTGGGATTGGAGGGAGAACAATATGTGATGTTTCTCTCCAGCACTTGCCAGCTAAAAACAGGAACATTCTATTCTCAACTCAAGGCTCACTCCCTGAGAAAACCTCCTTCTCTGACACATACATGGGAGTCTTGTGGCACCTTGAAGACCATGGCCCTTTCTGCACCTATATTTTGCCTCGGTTCCTGAGCGCATCCTATTCTTCCATTCTGCATTCCCTCCTGCTTTCACTTACACTTTGTGTTGGGGCTCTCTCTTGTTCCTGCAGTTGCTTTACAGGAATCTGCATTCAGGTCACTTCCAGCACACTGTTGCCCCGCAGCTACCAAAATTCCTTTTGCTGCGATTCTTTATTTTCATCCACTTTCAAATCACGAATCCTTTCTAAAGTAGAATTGTTTCTGGGGTTATTTAAGTGCTGCCCCCAGCCCTCCCCCATTTCTGCCTCTCTCTCTTTTGGTTGATGCTCCCTCCCTGTTCTGTTTTCTTTCCCTCCTTCTCCAAAGACAAAAGAGGATGTGTCCTCCCACTCAGGCAAACTTTAACAAAGCCAGAGAGGGCATAAAAAGGAATCAGTAAATATAAAGGACTGGGGGATTCCATGTGCCCAAGTGTGTCAGTCTTGCAAGTGTGAGTTTGGATTTCCCCCTCCCTTCCCTTTCTTTTTGCAGACTCAAGGAGGGAGGGAGGGGTTGGCAGCCAGTTAACTAAAAAATGCAGGTTTTGCTTATAGATGCAGAATGCATACAGAATATAAATAAACCGGGGAGGGGGGGGAACTAGTGCTGAGGGAATGCATGCGACTGCGAAGTCGACCCTTAAGGCGTAACTCCTCGGATTCTCTGGAGCAAGCTGTCAGTGCAGAAAGGGCCAGTGTTCTATTCCACCATGAGCTTTCATAGGGAATCTAATTCACAAACATTTATGCTGGCTGGAATAACATTTCATTAGGCTTTAAGGTGCATGTAAGGTGCGGTGGCTCAAGTGGTTAAGACGCTGAACTGCAGGCTGTGGAAGGTCAGTAGTTCAGCAGTTCGAGACCCGAGTGTGCCGCATGACGGAGTGAGCTCCCATCTCTAGTTCCAGCTCCTACCAACCTAGCAATTCGAAAGCAAGAAATTGCAAGTAGATAAATAGGTACCACTTCGGTGGGAAGGTAACAGCATTCCGTGCGCCTTGGTGTTTAGTCATGCCAGCCACATGACCACGGAAACGTCTTTGGACAGCACTGGCTCTTCGGCTTGGAAACGGAGATGAGCACCGCAACCCTAGAGTCGGATTCGACTGAACTAGAGATGGGAGCTCACTCTGTCATGCGGCACCCAGGTCTCGAACTGCTGAACTACTGACCTTCCACAGCCTGCAGTTCAGCGTCTTAACTCCTAAATTCATTGTAGTCAAGCTGTAACTCTGCCTAGGATGGAACTGCAAATCCATCAACTGCTGGGAATTTACACTAGCTCAAAGATCTTGGGGGGGGGGAAGGAATCTCATATGGATGCTCCCAGCCCTGCTCCTGGCCAGGAAGAGACAGCGGGCGTGTTAGCCTGACCTGGACAGAGCACCACCAAAGACTTCTGCTTGCTGCTCGGGTGGAGGAGGAGGGTGAACAAATGAGGCTTGCAGGCTTTGTAATCCACGCTATAGGAGTCTAACATACTGTAACTGAATGCGGGGAGTAAAAAGGGAATCTTTGGGAGGAGCACCAGCTACTCCTTGGAGAACCAGTATGTCAAAAGTCCCTGTCCCAACCCCGGGTAAGGTACAAGGGGAGTGCGTCACAAAAAAAAGTTGCAAAGTACCAGAGAGAGTCTAAAACTCACCCTAGACTTGGTAGGTTGCCACCAGGTCTTTCAATCTATCCCAACAGCCCTGGAGAGAAAGACCAAGCCTCCTGGCTTCTCAGGGAACTTAACAAGAAAAGTCAGCCCTGCAGAGTGGGACTGAGTTTCCAAGACAAAACAGTTAACTGGTAGGCAGCCAAGGCTCTGGATTTAAGGCTTTGAGGTTATTGAAGGCAAAAACCACGACAGAGTAAAAATATAATTATTTATTTAAGGTGCAAAAATATTTAAAACAAGACTAGACAGTGAAGGAATAAAGCAACTTAACCTAAGCTTTTCCAGCATAGCTAAGCATACAGAAACAAGGTTCCAGTTACCATTCCAGGTTCAGCGGAGGCAGTCAGTTTCAACAGGACAAGATGTTCACAACTTTAGCCAGTCCAGGCAGAGCGGGATGCCATTCTGAGAGCTTTTGAACCACTGACATAATGTCATGTCAAGTAGTCACCAAGATTCACCAGCCATAGTGTAAGGGCTAACTAGATTTATAGGAAAAGGGTATCTGACTGGTCCTCGGCCATTGGACCAATGAGGTACCTGAGAGGTGATGTAACTCTCTGAGTTGCTAGACATGAGATATCCAATGATGGACAAGAGAGAGTGGGAGAGAAACGAAACCATACTGCAGCTAGGTCCGTCCCTGCCCCCCCCCCCCACAGGTGTCTATAGCTCAATTGCTTGGAATGTGCTAATTGGGAGCTCCAAGGGGGATCGGTACTACCCTCAGCTGAAAACAATTTAGCTCTGGCGAGGTCACTGTGCTATCTACCTCTAAGCTGTCTCTAACTGTCTCTGGGAAAATTCCTGTAGGCCTCTTTACAGCCTGAACCAAATATTTTATTTTATAGCACAGAACGAGGAACCATTTTTCTTCACACAATAAATAAAATTAGGCTCTTCTGGTGCTTACAGGGGCTTCAAACAGATGACCTGTGGCTCCCCAAATATGGACTCTCAAAGTTGGAAGTGGAACTGCTACAGAAACCAGTCCTTTTTTAGTGCTTTGGAGGAAGACAACTACACTTTCAGACCAGATCGGAAACTGGAAGTCCAACTGAATGTCAGCCTCTTTGATAATGGTTTGTATTCAAGTTTTCCAGGAACATTATAGGGTGAATTGACACACAACTGTCTTTCCCTCCACAAGATTAATTTTTTTTTTGTACGCACCTTATGGTAGACATATGGACACTCATCTTGCAAATATTTCTTAGTTGTATTTAGTATGATTAACATTGGTAGTAATCATTGGTCAATATCAGTGTAGCAGGTTACACTGGCATGGAATTGAATGCATGAACTGTGCACATGTAGGTTTCTATGATAAGATACACAGTACAACATACAGTTCTGCAAATTCCTCTAATTCTAATCCCACCCACCCCCACCCTAATTTTCAAGAGCATCATCAGGATGGACTAAAAACTGAATTCTGACCCATTTGGGAGCTGGTAATCCCTAGGACAGATGTCTGATACAGCTCTATATCGAGAAATCTGAGGTTCCACTAAGGTAGTGTGTGTGTGCACTTGCATGTGTAATTCCAAGGGGAGAAAAAATGTTTGTGCAAGGTTGCTTAATCTTTTCCCCTGTCCTTGAATTCTGATAATCTGTTACCTCGAAAACCCTATGATGAGACATTTTTTTAAAAAAAAGTTATAGTACTGGCGGATAGGACCTCTAGGCTGGATGGCACTCAGTCAGCTACTGGGGAAGGGCTGAGGAGGAATATGAGTAGAGTTATTCTTAATGACACAACTGGACTAAAGCCAAAAGGATGTTCTATTATCGATATGAATGGATGCAAAAGGAAAGGTCAGAGCTGTTTCACACAGGAATATGGAACGTGAGAAGTATGAATCAAGGTAAGTCCAAAATCATGAAACAAGAACTTGGAATCCTAGGAGTGAGTGAACTAAAGTGGACTAGCTTAGGATATTTTCAAATGGGAAATTAAAGAAATGTTTTACTCTGGAAATGACCAATACAGAAGAAATTGAGTTGCTCTAGTAGTTAGGTCAGATGGAGCACTCGCGTTCAGGGGCTATAATGCAAAGTCTGACCAAATAATATCAATCCTGCTTAATGGAAAGCCTATTGACATAACCATCTTTCAAGTTTATGCCCCAACTACGAGTTTTGATGAGGGAGAAACTGACAGCTTTTTATGCAAGTGTCGAAGAAGAAATTGATCACACACCTAAACAAGATGTGCTGATAGTCATAGGTGACTGGAATGCAAAAGTAGGAAACAAGGCAGAATCAAATATTGTTGGAAGATTTGGCCTAGGAGCACAAAATGAAGCACGAAAGCAACTCATAGAATTCTGTAAAGACAACAGTTAATTGCAAAAACAAGTTTCAGAAAACTAAAGAGATAATTGTATACAAAGACATCACTGGATGGCCAATATAGTAATCAAAAGATTACATAATCAGAGGCAGAAGATGGAGAAATTCTATTCCCTCTGCTAAAAGAAGACCAGGAGTTGATTGTGATAAAGACCATGAATCATTAGTATTAAGAATTAGAATAAAGCTGAAGAAAAATACCAAAACATCCATAGTGCCAAAATACAATCTAAACAAAATTCCTGAAGAGTTTAAAGGCCATGTAAAGAACAGATTTACATTACTAAGTTCAAATGAACAGGAACTGGAAGACTTATGGGTTGAAACCAGAGATATTATCAAGGAAGAATGTGCAAAGACGATTCCTGTAGCCAAATGAAAAGCCTTGATGGATGACCTGTGATACTCTTAAAATTATTAAAGATAGATGAGAAGCAAAAGTAAAAGGTGACAGGAACAGAATCAGAAATCTAAATGCAGCATTCAAGCGTCTTGCACATAGAGACAAAAAGATCTATTATAATAACCAGTGTGAAGAAATAGAAGAGAACAACAAAAAAGGAAGAACAAGAGATCTGTTTCACTAGGACTGATTTCCCACTAGCCGCTGCTCCGCACTCGCTCTTCCCTTTGTCCTGATCCTATGTGTCAATTTCACACTATGTGCTGCGTGGCGGCATTTTGCCCTGCAGCTTCACCCGATTTTCCCACCGTCTACTTAGTCCTCAAAAAACAGGATTGAGTAGATGTGGAGGAAATCGGGCAAAGCTGTGGGGCAAAATGCCACCACCCAGCACATGGTGTGAAATTGACACGTAGGATTGGGACAAAGGGAAGAGCAAGCACGGAGCAGTGGCTTGTGGGAAATTGGTCCCTGTCTAAGAAGTCAAAAGAAAATTTGAAGCACAGTTAGGCATGCTGAAAGATCAACACAGAAGTACTTTAACTGAAGAAGACAAAATTAAGAAAATATGGGAACAATACACCAAAGAATTATACAGAAGAGGTTAAAGGATGATTCTTTCAAAGAAGAAACATTTGAAGAAGAACCTGCAGTTTTAGACAGTGAAGTGAATTGGGAGAAACAAATATCCGGGAATAGATGGGATATAAATCGAGCTATTCCAAGCCACAGAAATGGAATCCAGCAAAACCTTAACAAAAATATGCCAGCAAACATGGAAAACAAAACAATGGCCCCCAGACCGGAAATGTTCAATCTACATTCCAATTCTGAGAAAAGGAGATGTCAAAGATTGCAACAACACTCAAACCATTGCATTAATTTCTCATTGCATTAATTTCCTTTATTGTTTTATGCACAACCTATACTCTGGACAAGAGGCTACTGTTAGGACAGAATATGAAGAAATAGAATGGTTTCCAGTTGGCAAAGGTGGCAAATGAGGATGTATTTGATTTCCCTGTCTCTTCAATCTAGATGCAGAGGAAGGCTGTATTAGATTTAGATGATGGTGGAGTGAAAACTGGTGGAAGGAACATTAACAGTTTGAGATATGCAGATGACACCACATTACTGGCAGAAACTAGTGAAGACTTGAAATGACTGCTGCTGAAGGTTAAAGCAGAAAGTGCCAGGAGCAGGGTTATAGCTGAACATCAAGAAGAACAATTTAGTTATTGTTAATCATTGGGGAATTACACAACTTTTAAGGTTGACAGTGAAGAAAATGAAATCGTTCAAGGTTTTCTATTTCTTGGCTCCATCATCAACCAAAAGGGGAACTGCAACCAAAAACCAGAAGGAGACCGAGACTGGGAAGGGCAGCCATGAAAGAGCTAGAAAAGATTCTTAGAAGTGCAAGGATGTGTTGCTGGAGACCAAGATCAAGTGAATTCATGCCATGCTATTCTCCTTTACTATGTATGGATGTGAGGGCGGGATATAAATGTGAAAAATATAAAATAAAAATAAAAATGGGATAATGAAGAAAGCTGAGAAGAAAGTTGATTAATTTCAAATATAGTGCTGGAAGAGAGTTTTAGGGATACTGTGGACCACCAAGAAGGCAAATAAGTGGGTTCTAGATCAAATCAAGCCTAAACTCTTCCTAGAAGCTACAATAACCAAACTGGGGCTATTGTACTTTGGTCACATTATGAGAAGACAAGAGTCACTGGAAAAGACAATAATGCTAGAAAAAGTTGAAGGCAGCAGGAAAAGAGGAGGAATCAACATGGGATGGGTTGACTCAGTCAAGGAAACCATGGCCTTCAGGTTACACAACCTCAACAAGGCTGTTCACAGGACATTTTGGAGGTCATTAATTAATAGGGTTGCCATAGGTCAGAAGCAGCTCACCAGTGCTTCACACACACACACACACACACACACACACACACACACACACACTCCCCTCCTTTCCCTCATTTCTATCCCTGAACCATTTTCTCAGATATTAATCATCTTCTTCTTGCCAGTTCCTCCACCAAATTCTTCCCATGCTTTTTTTTTAAAAAAACATATTTATCAGACACACATTCCCCATCCTAGGTCTTCCACAATGCATGACTTACAGGAAGTCAGGCTCCCTGCCCCCAGTTACATACGGTTTGCAAAAAACTGCAAGGGGTCAAAGTTGTGTAGACCAGCCCCTCCACACACACCTTTGCACAAAGAATTCAAGGATTTGAACATCCACTAACATTTGTTGTTGTTGTTTAATAGCAAAGGATTGATTTGTGCACTTCTTTCTCATCCTCTTAGTTCAGCTTCCTCCACCAAGGGAACTAGACATCAGCCTCACAGAAGAAGGTGCTGACATGGAAAGCAGGTGGTGGAACAAATGGAAGTGGTTGGCTGGACGAAGCTCTGGACTATGAAGTCATCTACAAAAGGGAATGGGAACCCTGGGAGGTATTTGCAACCGTTTAGTTTTATGGCAACATTCCAGTTGTCGTTGGTGTGTTATATGGATAACAACTGTTTGATATAGTATTCAACAAAAGACCAGACAGAGCATTTGGATTGACTCCCAACAATCAGAAGGTTTGTCTGGATTCCAGAAGTGCGGTCATATTGGTTTATTGCAGGAGAAATGGCGGTGAATCCTATCATACTTTTGCAGCTAACAAATTATCGTGCAGCTAACAAATTATCATTGATATCGTCTGCTGCATCATCATCATCACTTCATGCTTTTTAATGTCAACATCCAGTCTACACTGGAAATGGCAGAGAGCTATAGACTTCATCTCTGGGGGTCTTTTGCTGACAGCATAAACTGCACACCTTCCACTTTTTACCCTAAATCTGTCTTTCTTCAGGGTACAGTATTCTGTTTAGGTACAGGAGGTACGGGTACCACTATTACTGTGGGTGTAGAATAGCTGTTGGAGTAGAGAAGGATGTTAAGTCATAGGCAGTGAGTGCTTGTAGGTCTGCCAACCTCCAGGAAGAACCTCGAGAGCTCCAGGAATGACAGCTGATCTCAAGATTACAGAGATCAGTCCCCCTGGAGAAAATGGCTGCTTTGGAGGGTGGACTGTAAGGCATTAAACCCTGCTGAGGTCTCTCCCCTTCCCAGCCCCCACCCTCCCTATGCTCCATCCCCAGAATCTCCAGGGATTTCCCACCCCAGAACTGGCATCCCTAGCCAGTGCAGCAAGAGACAACATGGAGAAAACAGGAGGAAAGAAAGGAGAGAAAGAAAAGGAGGTCTCTAGCATCTTTCTGCTTCTCCTTTCCTCCACTTCATTTTGTCACAACAACCCTGTGAGCTAGGTTAGGCAGAGAGGGAACAAACCAGTCCATAGGGATCCAAGAAGCTCCATGGCAGAGAGGGGATTAGAACCTGGGTCTCCCAAGTTGTAAGGCAACAGTCTAACCACTGATTCCTCGTGTGCTGTGTGTCTGGTACCTTGGGCTTGGGTCCTAAACCGCATGGGTGGAGTTAGGGTGGCCAGGCCCCCCCGGCCACTGGTGGAGGATGGGGGGGTAGGGTTGCCAAATCCAGGTTGAGAGACTCCTGGAGATTTGGGGATGGAGCCTGGAGAGGACAGGGACCTCGGTGGGGTACAGTGCCATAGAGTCCACCCTCCAAAGCAGAATTTTTCTCCAGGGAAACTGATGTCTATAGTCTGGAGTTGAGTTGTAATTCCAGGGGATCCCCAACTCCCACCTAGAGGATGGCATCCCCAATTGGAGTATTGCTAGAGGAAGTCAAATTTCCTGCCTCCCCCCCCCCTCACCACCTCTGCAGCCTTCCTTACCTCCTGAAATAATGCTCTTTTGGGTTGGTGTCTTCAAAGGAACAGTGTTTTTTTTGGGGGGGGGGGAGATTGGGAGGCTACAGCAGAAGGGGGGAATTGGGAGAAATGGCCATCCCCTCCTGCACAAATGAAAAAGCTGTTCTGTCAGAGGCGTAATCACTGCTTAGAATGGAATGGCACCATAGGACCCTATCCCTGGTCAGTTATCTACATCCAACTTGTACTGCCTGCTTGGCCACCAATTCTTTATCAGCTGAAAACATTCCTCCACTTGCATCTGCTGGATGACCTTGGGCAAGCCATAGTTCTCTCAGAGCTGTTCTTGAAAGAGCAGTTCTCTCAGAGCTCCCTCAACCTCACCTACCTCACGGGGTGTCTGTTGTGGGGAGGGAAAGGGAAAGGAGATTGTAAGCCACTCTGAGACTCCTTCGGGTAGTGAAGGGCGGGGTATGAATACAATCTCTTCTATTCTTCATCTTTTAAAAAAGAAGAAGCAGAACAGACAGAAGATATTGGAATCAGCCTCCAGGGGTGTACCCATGTTAATCTGTTGAAGCTAAAAACAAAAAAGGCTCTTACGGCACCTTAAAGATTAACAGATTGATTGCAGCCGAAGCTTTTATCCTATGTTTATTGTACTTTATTTTACGTCATTTAAACCCTGCCTTTCTCCACAAGGAGGACTCAGGGTGGTTTACAACATTAATTGTCCTCACAAAAACCACCCTTTGAGGTAGGGTAGGCTGAGAATGTGTGACTGGCCCACAGTCACTCAGCAAGCTTTCATGGCCAGGAGCCTCGAATGCTCTGAACTGTATTCAGTGGGAAGGAGCCAGCTGTAGTAGGATGAGTCAGTCTGCAATGGTAAATAGGAGAACTAAGAGAGGGGGAATGAAAAAGAGGATATGAAAGGTTAAATTGGGGAAGGAATGCAGAACAGAGGAAGAGAAATCATGCCCACCTGTCTTGAAGAGGAACAGTCTGATGCAGCAGTGTTGTGGTGATGGTGAAAGATGGGTTTAGATGAAAGCCGTCTACCAAAAACAGAAGGCCCAGGGGGCCTCTGTTATGCTTCTGAACGTACCTCATTGCCAAATTGCTGTTTGCCCAATGGTATTGGACCAGGACATTATGTGCCATTGGTGGGTTTGGGGCCCGGATTCTGATTGGTGCCAACCCAATTCTGAGACTTTACTGGTGTGTATTGAAAAGTTCATGCTATGATAGGATAATGTACGTATCCTATAGAAAGAGAAGTACTAGAATATGTATGGAAAGTCCACTTTGGGTGGGTGTTGAGACTGATATGGATATGCTGAAGGTATCTGAAAGATGATCAAACAGTTTTTCCTGGACAGATTATACCAGTCCAGGAACTACATTTGCAAAGAATATCTTAATAGCTTTGACTATTTATCTTGCAAAACTAGGGTCATACATGATCATTGTTGAGGCATTAGGAACCTCTAAGAATTAAAAGAGATCAATGCATCTCATGTGCATTTGGTCTATTAGACTGTTCCTATGTACAGAATGCCTTTAATCAATTCTGTGTTTTGATCAAGAGTCCTTACTTTGATGAGAACATAAAAAATATGTGTTTCTCCCCACTCTGACACCATGAGGCCAAATGTTCTTGGGGCATTATGTTCCTGTATTCCTGATCCTTTAAAGTCCAGAGATCTTATGTAGGGTGCTGTCCCAAGCCTTTGGTTTTGTATAGGCCAAATAATCCTTTTCTGGGAGTGCAGTGCACCCACAGTTGATTTTAATGGGGGCTCTTCAGGCTAGGTGACACAGCATGAGTTTATACTAGGGTGTTCCTGGTAATGCTTTAGTGGATGAACAGTGTGATCCTGTGCTCAGTTATTCCAGTCTAAACCTACCAAAATCAATGGGCTTAGACTGAAGTACCTCTGCACAGAATGGCCCTAGAAGTCTGCTAAACTAAGAATCCTTCTGCTTGCCTTAATGCTGTCATTCATGGGGACATGAGCATTCTATCCCTGGGCTGAGCTATATGCTATGTAGACCATCCATGAATTCAGGTGAAAGGAGGCCGGTGCCAATTTGATCAGAGCAGCAGTTAGGTGAAGGATGTCAAACCCTTCCCCTGTGCCATTTTTCCCCAATCAAAATCAGCTCCCTCTCCCTTCTGCTGGGAAAAATACAGGTAGCCAAGCAGTGATGTCACCACTTAGGATCAATCAGGATCAATTGCACATCAATGCTAAATAAAACAAAAGTCCATTGGCACATTAAAAACTAACAACGGCTGCGGTCACACGAAACAGAAGCCACACAAGTGAGACGGAAAACAGGCGGAGTTTCCAGGCGCGATCTCACCAGCACATCTGGGAAGCATAGCACTCCCGTGGCTCAACCGAGGCTTCCAGCCGAAACTGCATGGCAAAAAACTAGTACCTCGGAGGTACTAGTTTCCGGAAACTGCGGGGCAAGGGCGGGCATCTGATCGCGTTTCCGGTGGCATCCGGCGCCCGCCCATGTCCCCTTGCAAATAAGGTGTGGTTTTTTTTGTCCAAGTCTCTGTGGATGCGCACACGCACCCAACGGAGCATGCGCATTTGTCGTGTACACACACAAAAAAAACCAGTGTGCCGTGGCGCGTGCTTCTTCATTGCGCGCTGGCTTGTCCTGTGATCAGCACCTCTCCCTTGCCATGGAACCTCCACGGTACCTCCACAGGACCTCCACGGGAGGTCTGTTCGTGTAACTGCACAGTAGTTTGCCCCAGGGCAAACAGCCACACTTCTCCCCCGCAGTTTCCTGTCCGTGTGACCGGGGCCAATATTTATTTCAGTATGAGCTTTCATTAGTCACAGCTCACTTTTTTTAGTGAGCAAAAGCTCATATTGAAATGAATGTTGTTAGTCCTTAAGGTGCCACGGGACTTTTGTTTTGTTTTGCTATAAAAGACTGAGCCGGCTTCCTCTTTGCAAACATCAGTGCTAAGCTGGTTTCATGAGGCTCATGAAAAACTTGCTGCCGTAGTCAGAATCTGAGAAAGACAATAGAGAGCTTGTTCATGAGACAGACACATTTCCCACAAATGCTTAGGTCTGTCATTTCATTTTCTCTCTCCTCAACAGGATTCCTGTTCCACCAATTTTTGCAAAGTTTCCTGAAAATGTCTGATACTGAAAGAATAAAATATTTGATATTCTTGCATTACAGATTGAAACACAAATGCTATAAGAACAGGCTGTGGTTTCTCTAGGCCATATATAGCTGCCATACTGAGTTCATGTACCTTAGGACTGTCTACTCTTACTAGCCATGGCTCTCGTCATGCTCTCAAGCAGAGACAGGTTGTTTACCAACACCTGTTAACTGAGATCCTTTATGTAGACTTAACAGGGATTGAAGCTGGGATCCTTTGCAGGCAAAGTTGGTATCTTTCCATCACGAAAGAGAGTCTTCCTACGCTCCCTTCCTTCATTCCCTTTCCATGACAATAATCTCTCTCTCACTTGACAGAGATCTACCTCTGTGTTTGTCTCAAATGTTTCACGCTGGCTTTTCCACCATGATGATCTGGTGCCTGGGAGCACTTATGTTGCTCGTGTGCGCAGCAAACCGCACCAAGACAATCATCTTTCGGGTGGTTACAGTGAATGGAGCTCTGCTGTGAACTGGACAGCACCAGAAGGTAAAACCCCTGGAGAAATGGCTCATGGTGACAGCGGCCACTGGCTGTGGAGTACATCTGCACTAGTGAAAGAGTTCAGTTTGTAGAGTGGCATAATCAGGTTCAGGCTAGATGTTCAACTGGGTGTGGTGTGATGGTTAGGCTAGAATTTGGGAGACCCAGGTTTGAATCCCTGCTGTGCCATGGAAGCTCTCTGGGTGTTCTTGGGTCGGTCATCCACTCTCAGCTTAACCTCCCCCATAGGATTGTTGTGAGGGTAAAATGGAGGAGCAGAGAATGATATTGCAAGCTGCTTTGGGTCCCCACCGGGGAGAAAAGAGGGATATAAATATCATCAGAAAGAAGAAAGAAAGAAAGAAAGAAAGAAAGAAAGAAAGAAAGAAAGAGAGAGAGAGAGAGAGAGAAAGAAAGAAAGAAAGAAAGAAAGAAAGAAAGAAAGAAAGAAAGAAAGAAAGAAAGAAAGAAAGAAAGAAAGATGAATACAAAATGTGATAGATCCAGGTGGTCAGCCGTATTGGTCTGCCGTGGGGCACCTTTAAGACCAACAAAGTTTTATTCAAGGTGTGAGCTTTCGTGTGCATGCACACTTTTTCAAATATTTGAAAAATATTTGCATATTTGAAATATTTGAAAAAGTGTGCATGCGCACGAAAGCTCATACCTTGAATAAAACTTTGTTGGTCTTAAAGGTGCCCCACGGGACTCTAGATTTGTTCTACAAAATGTGATGTCATCCTACTGTGAGTTTTCCTGCCCCCAGAAGGAGGAGCCAAGCGGAGTGCAGGCAGGGAAACTCACCTTGTGATGGTGTCAAATCACCCGTTCTGTATTACGGGAGAGGAAGAGGAAGAGATACGGGGTTGTCGTTTTCCATGACATCGTTGTGTCTGCTGTAATATCCTCATTTCAGCTTTAGGTTATGTTCACACCAATCAATTGTCTTGTGGACAATGATATATTGGTTGCCTCACGTCAGACAGAGAGCCAAACTAGGAGTTGGTCGGAGGTCCCCTGACCTGACTTGCTGTCACAGGAAACATCAGGGGAACCAGCCTTTCCAAGTGGTTTGGCTTGGGAGCATGGCCCACGGGGAGGAGGGGCTTCAGCCTTCCCTGCCACGTTGTTTTACCAAGCAAAAGCAGCCATGGGGGAGTCCTGTTTCCACAGTGTGAGGTTCCACATGCTGCAGTCAGTATAAATGGAGACCCACAGTGGGGCAAACGGAGCCCCCCCCCCCGGCCATTTCTGCTTGGGAACATGTCATGGGAGGGAAGACTGAAACACACACACACACACACCGCACAGCACTTCCAGGCTGAACTGGGCTCCGAAGTGCTAAGCAATGTTCTTTCTATGATGTTACATGTGACTGTCCCCAGCCCAACTGGTATCACATGTGTCATCTCAGTTTGTAGCTGTGCTTGTGCTCTGCCCTGGCTTGGGAATCTTTGAATCAAGCTTCAGTTTGCCAAGACATATGAATGCAAGTGGCGGAGCACAGTGGAGTTTATTTGCCCCTAAAAAAACACCCACAGGATTCTGGGTTGTTTTATTTCACACGTGTGCAGAGACCGGGCCCGTAGCTAACAACATTTTGCTCAGGGGGGCCAATGTTTTTTCTCAGGGGGCCAGTGGGGCCTGCCATTATATGTCTGTGCGGTTCTGCCTCGTGCCCTTGCCGGCCGCTGCTCACCTGCGCAGTGCCTCCCCATCCCGCCCAACCCGTCCCAGCAGAGGCCGATGGTTCACACCTGCCCAAGCACACAGGACGCGCGACTCATGTCCCTGACATTGACAACTAGTTTGCGATTTCTTCTCCCCTCACCATTCGCTCCTTGGCAGAGAAGGATTCCTCCCCTCCGCCCTTGGCTGGCATTGCCCTCAAAGCTCCCCCCCCTCTCACACACACACATATACACACCCAAGCCAGTTCTGGGTCAGGCCCCCTCCCCGCCTCCTCCTCCTCCGAAGGGCTTGCCTTGCTGGAGATGCCCCATTCACTGCCACGGAGGATGCCACGTGGCGCTGTCCCTTTAAGGCACATGAGGGAGAGTATGAGAGAGAGAGAGAGAGAGAGAGAGAGAGAGAGAGAACCCCTGCTGGTGCATCACTAACAACCCCTCCATTAACAATCGCCACCTCGCCTCCTCTTCTGTGGCTAAAGGGCGCGCGGGTGGGTGTGCGCTACGCCAAACCGAGGGAGGGGAGCTAATGTGGGAAACGGGCAAGCCGAGCAGTGGCCTGGAGCTCACTGGCTACTAGGAAGATGAGGAGGAAAGGTTCAAGCAGCAGCAGTGGTCGGATGACCGCAGCAGCCAGTCCCCGCATGCCCGGCTTCTTCCACAGAGTCTGTGCGTGCCCCAGGGCCAAACCCCGCCACCCGCTCGCTTGCTTGCCTGGGTTGACTTCGCCTTGAGCCTGACTGTCTAGAGCCGGGGGGGGGGAGAAGTGATCAATTGGGGAAGGGTGCCCGCAAAAACCGCGGGGGGGGCCTATGGGCCCCATGTTAGCTATGGGCCTGGTGCAGACTGTATTCAGGAAGATTACTGGCTGTCCTGGAGCAGACTGTTTCAGTAACATGCCTAACATCTCTAGATGGTGGCAGACTCTACTTTGAGGATCTGGGTCCAAGAGTCTGAGCATTTTGCATAATCCAGAGTTTCCAAGTGATGCAACCTGATGGGGAAGTGGCAGATTGTGGGCCGCGAGTGGTCACAGGTTGGAAAACTGTGAATTCATATGGGGGAAAACACTGACGTCAGGCTTGCAACATGCAGTGCATTTCGACAGGGAGAGGACAGGGTGGGCTTTTATAAATTTGTTCATTTGTTTACTTCATTTAGACCGTGACTTCTCCCCATTGTCCTCTTCTCCCTTTTATTCTTATAGCAACCCCTCTAACCCTATGGGTTAGGCTGAAAGTGTGTGACTGGTCTTTTTGTGTAGTGTTTTCCCAATGCATAGTGTCATGCCTGCCCCTGCTGATGTCATGCCTGCCTTTGCTGATGCCCCTGAACAGGCTCCTGAGGACCCTGAACAGGCTCCTGAGGACAGTACTGCAGCAGAAAGGCAAAGACTGGATCCTGTAGCTGAAAGCTATCTAAGTGGTGAGGAGGATAGAGCCTCCCAGGGAACACCTGCAAGGGATCAGTCTCTGCTGCAGCCCAGTAATTCATCATCAGACTCGCCTCCACCTGTAACCAGGCTCAGGAATGTAAGAAGACAACAGCTGAGAGAGCGAAGGCAGAATGCACGCATGCGTGCCAGAAGATCTCTTAGCCCTGATTACTGACAGGATCCTGTCCTCACTCCTGGCTAGCTAATGAGTTGATTAGCTAGCACTGTATATATGCAAGTCTGTTGCCAGCAGTCATTTGTGCTGGCAACGTCGTTTGTTCAGGACCTGAATCCTTGCATCTCTGCTCCAGACCTTGTGGAATTCTTCTTGGCTTGATCCTCGGCTTTTGACCTTTGGCTTTGTTGACCCTGCGTTCATCTCTGACTCCTCTGGTAATGTTGTGATTTATGGACTTGAAACTTTGGTATGTCTGACCCTGCTTTTGGACTGTGATTTAAACCTGCTTGAACCTTGCTACCTGATTTGCCCGGCTTGACCTCGGACTGTTCCTGGACTTTTGCTTGCTTGTGTCACGCCCCCTGGTCCTGCCGTGACAGATTGCCAGCACCCACAATGCTCACACATCCCCACCATGGAAGACGGAGCAACCGGAGGTGTGGACCCCATGGAGGAA